CATAAGTCATTCATATATAGGATTCGAACCCACGACCCTACTATTGTAATGCATATTAATCATAGAGACCTTCTATAGTATTGCTTTTGAATCATAGACCTTACTTTCATAAGTCATTCATATATAGGATTCGAACCCACGACCCTACTATTGTAATGCATATTAATCATAGAGACCTTCTATAGTATTGCTTTTGGATCATAGACCTTACTTTCATAAGTAATTAATATATAGGGTTCGAACCCACGACCCTACTATTCTAATGCAAATTCATCATGGAGACCTTCTTTAGTATTGCTTTTGTATCAATTAGTTTAATATCATAAGTCCCTAATATAGGACTAGTCATTGTGCTACAGTACTTCAGGCAGTCGGGCTCCCGACCACCCCATATATATGTACAACTGCAGGAATGTATCTCCGGCAGCTCCTCCATACAAGACATCTATACATAAACACCTTCAATAACTTAGGAAAATTTTCCTTTATACGTGAACTCCTTCCACAACTTAGGAAATTTCTTTTATACGTGAACTCCTTCCACAACTTAGGAAAATTTTCTTTTATACATGAACCTCCCAGACTTAAACAATTTTTAACAAATTTTCTAATTATCTTATAAACGTTATTTAACTTAATTTTATAATATTTTTTGACTTGTATTTCTATTATTTATCTCTTTTTAAATATTTTTTTTCAAGTTTTTAAATAAATTTATTTATTACGAAAAACAATAATTTTGCCTTTAATTTACTATGTTATTGGGATAATGTCTGAAATATATTAACTTTATGTTTATTAATTTAACTTAATTGCTTAATATATATCTTTTAAGACTATTTTTGACGCCCCTTTATATTGAATTTAATTATTAATAATAATATTGGGCCGTCACAGTATGTATATAGTTTTCTTTAAGGATTACTCAGATATTTTATATGGGGATTCCTATATTCAGGAGTGGACATTGATAGACTGTAATGAAGATGATGAAGATTATTCATATGACTGTTACGAGCTTGAGGTTCGTGACAATAAAAATTGCCGATAAAATTACCTAAATTAACACTTTAATTTACTTTACACAAATTAAAACTTAAAACACTGATAATTAAACATACTAATTTACTTTATTCCGCCCCGAAGCTTCGCTTGTCTCGCCAAATCCAATACTGCCCCGATCGCATCTTGCAGCGCCTATATATACAAATTAGCAATGAAGCATCCGGAATATTCAAGTAAATGCGCGCAAAGCGACGAGTGTTCGAGTGTAGATTTTCTAGAAACTTAGTTCTCCGGTTTGAGACTAGATGGCGCTGTCGATTGAAAGATTTGTGATGTCATTTTCTACAAAGCTCCCCTCGCTCTCGTTCCTGACACTAGATGGCGCTAGTGTATGACGTTGACTTATTCACGCAACACTGCCCCCTCCTAAGACTTGATCGTCCCGAGCATTATCGGTCCCATAATAACGCGCCAAGCGATTCACATGGACGATCTTAGGAGTCCCCTTTGCGCCTTTCTGTAACGGCTCCGCAATCTCAAGGGATGTCCTATCCCGTGGTGCACAGCATTGTACAATTTCGATGCTCTTCTACTCTGTGTCTGAGGTCCCCTCACAGCCGCATAACTTGTACATGTACGACACCAATCCTCGACATCGTCACGATAATGGACCCAGTAAAACTGTTCTCGAACCTTCAGTAAAGTTCGTTTAACTCCCAGATGGACTCTTGAACGACCATTATGGCACAGCTGTAGAACATTCGGCACTTTAGCTTTAGGGACAACCATTTGCAAACGACAGCTGTCTCCTCGACCATTGTCCAATTTACGGTACAGGACTCCATCCTGAAGCAGCAAGCTGTCCCATTGGGCCCAAAAGCTTTTCGTGGTTGAACTCATCGCTGAGACGTCCCTCCACTTAGGCTCGGTAGCGCGGGCCTTCACCCATTCCAGAATCGGCTTGATGTCCGGATCTTCCTGCTGTGCATGTCGTAGGCTGTCCTTCCACTCGTTGCTGAAGTGGTCTGTCCTGAGCATCCTCACGGATACCACTTCCTTACTCTCTTGCCTAGTACAATGTTTCCAATCTTCAGGACAAGGTCTTCTTGACAATGCATCTGCGTTGCCATGAGATTTCCCGCTCCGATGTCTGATAGTAAAGTCGTATCTCGGCTGCTGCTGGGCGGTGATGTTAGCCGCACTTCCCTTCTGAGATCGTTCACCTTCCCTTTCTAGGGTTCGCTTAGGGCAGCTGGATCGAAGATGGCCCCTTTCACCACAGCCATAGCACCTAGGGCTGTATCCTTTATTGTGGTCGCGAACCGTAACTGCTGCAACCTCCCTAGCGCGAGGGTAACGACGATCCTGCCACCGCCAGGCGGTGCCGTTAGCTGCACTACCCTCTCGAGATCGATCAACTTCCCTTTCTACAGTTCGCTTAGGGCAGCTGGATCGAAGATGGCCCTTTTCCCCACAGCCATAGCACCTAGGGCTGTATTCTCTGTTGCGGTCGCGTACTGTAGCTGCTGCAAACTCCCTGATGCGATGGGAACGATGATCCTGCCGCACGGCTTCCACCTCCAGTGCATGGGCCAAGGCATCCTTAAGCGTCTCGTGGTGCCCGAGCCTCACAGCAGCTCTGACTTCCAGGTCGCGGATGCCGTCGATGAATGTCTGCACCAGGTTCCCTTCAATGAGCGCAGGTACAGACCGGTATGCATTTCGCACCAGCTTCTCCACCTCTAGAGCCCACTGCTGCAGGTTTTTATTGATGCGCTGCACGCGATCTTTAAGCTGCGCACGAAAGACGTCTTCCAGGTGAGCGTCGCCATATCTCGCCTCCAATTCCTCAAGGAGTTGCTCATAAGTCACTTTCTCACCGAGAGCTTCCAGAACAGTTAAGGCCTGGTCGCGCAGGCCTAGTGTGAGAGCAGTCATGGCCTGACTTTTATTCCAGCCGTTCGCCTTCATAACAGCCTCGAACTGGATTTTGTAGGCTGACCAGGAAGAAGTCCCGTCGAACGGTGGCACCTTGAACCCACGTAGCGAAGGTGTTGTAGCTACTACGGGAGCTGTAGTTCCATCTCCAAGTTTGAGTTCGTCCAGTGATTTCTTCATGTCAGCCATTACGTTGTCAACCCGATTGTTTACTTGGTAGATTCGGATTTCAGCTTCCGACAGACGGTTGTCATGTTGAGCAACCTTATCCTTCACCTCCCGTATCAATTTTTCGAAGGTAGCGTGAAGGTCCGTCATGAGGAGCATCTGCTCTTCCAACCGACGGGCCTGTTCCTCTTGTCGGCGGGCTTGTTCATCCTGTCCGCCCCGCAGCTGCTCTTCCAACCGACGGACCTGTTCCTCCTGTCTGCGGACCTGTTCCTTCTGTCGACGGGCCTGGTCATCCTGTCCGCCCCGTAGCTGCTCTTCCAACCGTCGGACCTGTTCCTCCTGTCAGCGAGCCTGTTCCTGCACCATCACCATCAGAGCACCCAAGTCGGGTGCTGCAGATGTAGGAGCTACTAACGGGCCTGCAGCCGGTGGCTGACCCTCCGACGTCTGTGGCGTTGTACCACCAAATCTTCTTTGGTCCGTCTCCTGCTGGCGTTGACTTCGGGTACGGACACCCTCCGTTTCCTCCTTAGGTAAAATCGGTATGATTTTATCCCACTTCTGACACCAATTGTTACGAGCTTGAGGTTCGTGACAATAAAAATTGCCGATAAAATTACCTAAATTAACACTTTATTTACTTTACACAAATTAAAACTTAAAGCACTAATAATTAAACACACTAATTCACTTTATTCCGCTCCGAAGCTTCGCTTGTCTCGCCAAATCCAATACTGCCCCGATCGCATCTTGCAGCGCCTATATATACAAATTAGCAATGAAGCATCCGGAATATTCAAGTAAATGCGCGCAAAGCGACGAGTGTTCGAGTGTAGATTTTCTAGAAACTTAGTTCTTCGGTTTGAGACTAGATGGCGCTGTCGATTGAAAGACTTGTGATGTCAATTTCTGCAAAGCTCCCCTCGCTCTCGTTCCTGATACTAGATGGCGCTAGTGTATGACGTTGACTTATTCACGCAACATGACCATCATCTGGATCTAACATAGATGGACAGACCACATATAGTAGTTTGAATCCTGTTAATGCTTTCAACTAATTTTGTAATAATTGGATCGGACAAAGCATCCAAAGGATTGAAGTCTATAAAGTTAGCACAAGCCCTTCCTTACATTATTAAAAGTGCAATACACTGCATATTATTTTTAACAATCAATTTTTTTTAAAGAACAACAAACCTTAAGAAAGTTCAGGCAACACAATCTATGAATAATTACATTTCGTCCTAAACCTATCAAATTTAAAGGCACAACTTGTACAACAAAGTAGAAATACATGCATCAAATGGTTCTCAAACAATAGATAAACACAAGACTTCTTTTCATATAGTTATTGTATTTACTATCTTATTTTGTTATATTAATTGTAATAGTGGGTGTATTATAGAGCAAGTTGGATGAACAAGATCCATTCATTTACTTTGTATTGGTAGAAGGGTAATGTAGTGCCATGAGCAGGGACTGGTTTACTATGAAAGTAATGTCAATGAATATAATGTTATTAATTTTATATAATAATTTTATGATACTATAATTTATTTCAGTTTTTATTTATTTCCAAACTAACAAAGTGTATTCCCATTTTAATTTGTGGAATCACAAGCTGGTCCCTCGTAAATTATTTTTTCGAGATGGAGAAACTAAGGAAATAGTAAGGAAGAGTTAAACTCACCTTTATTAAAGCAAAACGAGGATCTAAAACGCGGACGAGGTCGACTTTGATTGCGGAAGCGTGTTCGCAACGACAGTTCAGTCCCGACTGAAGCCGAAGCCGCGGCCGCAGTTGTGGCCTTAGCCACGGACGTGGCCTTGACACCAGCCCTGACTCCAATCTATCCAACATACGACTGCCATCGCTTAATAAGCGAATGAAGCTAGTTACCATCCGTCCTACAGACAGTCGTTACACCGTCACTACAACCCAGCGTCGGCCCAACGATCACCACGAACTTGGTAATCGCTCATCCACCCAACATCAAAGAGTTGGTTCTCCGCGCAGCATGTCGTGTAATCTAATGAGTGGTCAGTTCAGCTGTTCTCCTGACAGCCCTCGACTCCTCGTAACAGCTGCACCAGAACCGGAATGCAAGGTAACTTCATGTTCATGTTCATGAGCCCACAATGTCTAAATCTGACAAAAGTCTTAAGCTTTTAATGCATGCATTTAAATATTTAACGGCTTCAGATTCAGATAGGATATGTTCACTTAATAATGGCATACCGGAGTATGGCCCAGCTAGGAAGGAGCAACCAATTACTAATGGTTGGTCAAGCAATCGACAAACAATACACTTCACTCTCCCGAAGTTAAAAGGTGTGGTACGAAGGCTTGCCACCTGTATTCTTTTCCAGTCAGAGTGACAATCTAAATTAATTGTCCGCATTGCCATCTGATGTTAAGTAATATGTTAGCTAAACATGCGAGGTTTGGGGACACATTAGAGGAATACAATTTATAACTTTGTTAGTGAGGCTGCGGTATGGTTTTAGAAATCTATACAACTTTAAAGTTTGGTGATAGTTTAAATAAATCTGAATTAGATCGCGTTTGATGGTCCTTCGTAACAAATATCGTAATTATTTTACATTCGAACTTTCCAAATTAGGAGATTGCACTTGAGCTGAGTTGTCAATTCATCTGGACAACGAAAAGCTTGTCATTTTTAAGCCGTGTATTCCATTTTTATCGAATCTTTGACTAACTTACCGTGAAAGTTAGTCAAAGATTCGATAAAAATGGATTACTACCTGTTGCTTATTACAGCGAACAAACTACTCCACGTGAACAAAATGATTCCTCTTACGACCTAGAAACACCAGGTGCAATAGCTTCCCTAAAAAGAAAAATCGTGTATATTTGGTAGGAATTCGTTTTAAAATTATAACAGAGTGTAACTCCTTGCGATCCACATTTTTAAAACGGGATATGCTGTCACGTATATTACAAGAGTTCGATTTTTCTATTAAACACATACCGAATAAAATACATAAAAAATAAATATAATACAAAAGCATAAAACAATTTTACCGCAATCAAGAAATTAATTAAAGTGGGTAGAAGTAAAATAATTATTTAATTACTAATCCGACAAATGGCTCAAATATATGTCTAAATGATTAATTGTGAGGTACAAGAGCAAAGCAGGCAAAGCAATATTCTATAAAATAAATGTGTCACACTCTTATATTAATATTCAGATGTTATAGTAAACGTTTAGAAGATTTCTTTTAAATTCCACATAAAAATAATTGGAACGTAGTAAGTAGTTCAAATCAGTTAATATTACATTTTCTAAAAAGAAACAAAATAAAATATGTAAAAAAATACATTTTATATTCGTGATTTGTTAATCCTAACCAATATTACAAGTTTAGACAAAGTGTAAGATTAATACTGCCGTCATAAGAAAAAAGGGCACATCTAACATTTGTTGACAAAATGAGTTGAATATACCATTCTCATTCATCATCATCTCATTAATCATTCTCCATTTATTCGTTTTTATTATAAAAATTAAATTGAAACTGAGTCGAATCTGTACATTAAATATTTTTTGGAAAATCCTATTGAAATAGTCATTATTATCGATACATAGGTTTAATCTATAGTTTTAAGAATTTTTGTCTGTCTGTCACTTTACCAAAAAAACTATCTCCCAATTTTTAATTATTGTACATTTATTTTATTTTCAGACTTCTAAAATGAAGGAAGGCGGATCTTTAAAACTATTGAATATGGCAACTAATGTAATACAGGGTCCAGATTCAAATCCGCTAAATACAGCGGAAACTGAAGTAGAAAAAATCAGATAATGAATTGATACTGTTGAGTCAGATGCAGAACGAAAATGTCAGAGATTCAGAGTTGCTTTTACCGATGTTCAAGATGATTTAAATAAATTTCCAACAGCTGAAGGGACTATCGAAAATAAAGAAAATTTATTATCGCATAAAAAGATTAGTAGAGAATTAAAGACATCTGAGCTTAATTATTATTGTGAGGAGGAATCTCCTAAACTATCCCCAATAGTTTCAGATCAATATATTTTTGACTCTGACGATTCTGTCAAAGACAAATATTATATACCGCCTACCGATTACAAAAGAAACCGCTCCGATTCCGATACAGATTCTCAGGAAGAATTTATTGATAATAGTCAAAATGTAATAATCCCAGAATCACCAGAGCAGGAAGAAAATGATTTATTATATACTAAAAAAGGAACTATAAGAAAGAGAAAGAGATATGAGATGTCGTTAAAAACCAGAAAACAAATTAAAATATTGAAAAAGAGAACGGAAAAGTACCAATTAAAAAAAGGGCTTTACTGAATCCTGCAAAAAAAATATAGCACATACATTTCAGAAGACCGGCGCAAAGAAATTAATATTTTTTTTACAAATATGACGTGGTCAGAACAAAGGATTTTTATAAGACAAAATACTTCTATGACGCGACCAAAGAGGCCCAAACTAGGTGAAAGAATACTGAACAGACAAAATACTATTTCTTACTTTTTACTGGATAGTGCCGGTACTAAATTTAATGTCTGTAAGACATTTTTTCTAGAAACTTTGGGTTTTAATAGGAAAAATGATAAAGTTGTCAGAAATTCCTTAAAAATGAAAGAAGGAGATGTGGATAAAAGGGGCTTGAATCCAAATCCCAAGAAAATTAACAATGAAAATTTAGTAGAGCATGTCGAATCATTTCATCCTACGATATCGCATTATAGACGTGAGCATGCTCCCAATGTAAGGTACTTGTCTTCAGATATTACAGTGCGAGCAATGTATAGTGATTATTGCGAGACCCACTGCACTGACCAGGAGAAACTGATCTCATACGAATACTACCGTAAGATCGTCAAAGATCGCAATATATCTTTTGCTAAATTAGGTCACGAGGAATGTGAATTATGTCAAAAATTCTTGATTCATAATCCTAGAACTGATCTACGTCACCGAAATTGTGAGGAATGTAAAAATTATGAGATTCACCACGAAAAGTACATTTTGGCTCGAGCCGAGTACCAGCGTAATGTTGACGTACAAAATAATATGAAAGGTGATTCTGATACTGCATATTTCGCCGTTGATTTACAGAAAGGTATAATGTTGCCGCGCATGGAGCAATTTAAAGCAGTGATGTTCTGTCCACGCTTAATTGTTTTCAATGAAAGTTTCGTACCAATCGGAGAAAAGAAAACAACCTTAAATTTTCAAATATTTTCGGCTCTTTGGCATGAAGCTATATCTGGTCGAAAGAAAGATGACATAGTAAGTTGCTTTAGAGCATTTTTTTTACAAAATCGTGACATGAAGCACTTAGTGCTTTGGCTAGATAATTGCGCTGCTCAGAATAAAAATTGGGCTCTATTTTCATATATGTTATACCTCATTAATTCAGCTGAAGTTTCATTTGAAACTGTTACATTCAAATATCTTCAAGTTGGTCACACATTTATGGCTGCCGATGAATTTCATCATAGAGTAGAAATGGCTATGAAAAATAAAAAAAAAATTATGATTTCGAAGACTTTTATCAAGCTGTTTTAAGCACTAACTATAAATCTATTACAGTAAAAAAAAAATGAATGTGGAGGATTTTTATAAATTTGATGACTGCTCTTCTGGGTACAAGTTACAAAACTCGAATCCACGGGCATATTTAAATGATATGTGCCAAATTACTTTTCGCAGAGGTTATCAATACGAGCTTTTTTATAAAACAAATTTCGATGGTGATGAACATTCACTGGATTTCTTAAGGGTAAAGAATATTAAAAATGGAATACCTGCTCCCAAAGAAAATTTTACTTTCAGAGGTATTACATCTGAACGAAAAATGAAAATAATTAGGGAATTAGGGCCACTCATGCCGGAAAACAGAAGAGTGTTTTGGCAAAATTTGCCAGTGAATGATGATGCGGTGGATCTTACAAGGAATTATGAAGACTGAACGTACAAATCTTCTTTTTATTTTTATATTTAAGGGTATTTTGATCTCACATTTCAAAAAGGCCAAGGGTAGCTTCAATCTGAGTTTAGCTTTAAGTGATAAATATCTGTTATACTTCTATTCCATTGTATTTATTACAAGAAAGAAGCTGACAGAGTGACTAAGTGTGTGGTAGAGAGAAATAAAAAGGCCTTTAGTCTGTTTTTAGTTATTAAGGATAAATTTCCTTTGTGTTCTTATCATTTTTAGATTTTAACAAAAGTGATTGTTGCTCAAATATTAAATATAGTAATTTGATTAAACCCTGTTTAAAAGAAATTTAAGAATAATTTGAATTCACTCGTTGCACATTTAAAAATGTACGAAAAAGTGCCAGTTAAGTTTTATAGGTATAATTATGGTTTTGATGCTGTGAAAGCAAATTTTAGACTGATATAGCTTTTAGTATATTTTATCATCTAATTGAAATTGCTCAAAATTTATGATAATTTAGAAAAACACTGAAGGGAAACTATTAATTTGATTTATTGGTTGCAATGACAATAAAACTATGATATGAAAATAATTAATAAGTAAATTATTAAATTTTAGAGGTATTTATTTTGTTTAAATGTTTTGAAACTAATTTGTGTTTAAGTTTTTGGTTTTGTGATTATTAGTCACACCCTGATGTGAAACTATTCGTAAATGTTTAGTTTTTTAATTTTCTTAATAAACAAAATTTTGATTGTTTTTTGTCTATTATTCTTATTTAGCACGTCTTGGAAAAGGTTTATTTTAAGAGTGATTTTATGAGTGTTACATAATGTAACTGAGTACGTTTAGATGACTCTAATACAATGCATTTAATATTAAAAATAACCTCACTAATGTTACCACTCTCTTAAGTTTTTCCACCTTTTATCGTAGTAAGTCTGGTATGATACCCCTTTATTGCGGGTTGTTACTTTTTTGTGTCTAATTTTGTTACATACTTGCTAAGAAAAAAAGTAGTAAATGACCATTTGCGTCCATTCAATTTCAAATTAACTTTCCGAGATATGTAAAAATGTTAAAAGAATGGCAGTTTTTTTATTTACTAGGTTGGAAAGACGCAAATGGTTATATGCGTCTTTCCTTCGAAGTTTTTGCGTTACCGGGATTATTTTTTAAGCTAAAATGAAAAGGAAAATCCGTTTTATTTAAATAAATAAACAAATTATCAAAAAAAAAGTTCGTCTTTAAAATCTTCATGTCTCTAACTATCAATTTCAATTTTCATATTGATACATTTTAAAATATTTTAGACGCAGCAGGGTCTGAAAGAAAAATTCATCTATTTATTTTTTATCTCCATTTTACGTTTTTGTTAGTTACGTCCTTCTCTATTATGACGGCAGAATAGGTAGATGCCAGTGTGTAGTATATGAGTGTGTGTTGTTATTTTGCTTAAACAGTTTGCATTTTTACCTATCTATATTTAGTAAGTTTTCAGTTTTCTCATAAGATAATGACATTAAAAACTTAGAGCTTGTTTACATTTAAAACGCGTTAGCGTATATATCCTTATAATATTTTAAATTTTTTTTCACTATTATAAATGCAGATATTTTTATAAAGATAAGGTCCCAAAAAGCTTATTTGACTTTGAACAAAGAATTAGCAAAAATTTTCTGGTAGTATAATTAAATGGTTAAACGAACTTACGTTAAGTGAAGTTCAACCATAATTATACGAAGCTCCTTGTCCTAGACGGTACTCCCGGCCCAACTCTTCCTGCTTCCTTGCTTTAAACATAATGAAATTGCATTGACGGACGGGTTGATATAGTGTTGCCATATATACTGCTCCCTAAAAATTTTTTTTGCAAGCTTGGATAAATTGTGATGCTGGCATGGAATACGGCGTACTACAATTGTTAAGAATGTCTAGGACAAGGAGAGAGTATAATTCGATCTTTTCTTCTTAGTTTTTGAAATAAATTTAAGTTACAGTTATTGTTCTTATGTGTATTAAGTACAGATTTTAAAATAAATAGCTGTCGGACTGTAAGCACATTTACTTCAAAGAACAAATTACAACAAATTATTTAGATAAACTGCAAAGGGCTATAAGTGGGTTTTGCCTAAGAGCATTAAATTACAGGTTGTAAAGCTAAATCATGACACTTTGAATTGGATAAAACTCTAGTTCGTAGAAAATCACACTGCTGGTTCCAAAAAAATTCATAACTAAAAAAATCTACGTAACCTCTTGCCTTGAGTGTACATATTTTAAATTGTCCGGTGATAAGAAACCCTGAGTTTTTACATCCAATTAAAAAAAAATCCCTTTGACATAATCCATGTCGATCATGTTAAACCGTTCGTAATTTGTAATGTTTTGCTAAAGATGTCCATAAGAGCAAGTTATAATCTAGACCCAAAGGAATCACTTGGAGAAAAATTTATTTAAATATACACTATAGACCGGACATTGGGAACATTTACATACGAAAACCGTGAGCTCGCGCGTGTTTTACGCCCTCTAGTGAAACACAGCCATACTACGCTGAATATTTATTTGGTGAACATTTTAGCTATTGCACATTAGGTGATGCTACTCAATATAAGGTAAAATGCGTTTTAGGCACGTTATCAACCGCAGAAGGCGCTTATTAAAATATTTTTCCTTTTTAGAACAATCTACTAAAAATAATAAAATTCAAAGATTATTTGGTAAATAACATTATTCTTACGATAAATAACCGAAATCGGGTTCATTATTTTTGTTCCATATTGTGAAAAGTTCGCATATTCAATTAAATCCGTTAAATATAAATTTGCGATCTTAATAAGAATAAAAAGACAAATTTTCGCTAACTTTAAAGCTA